AAATAATAATAAATCGAAATATATTAATTTACATATTCTATCATTTAATTTTTTTAAGCATCCGGTTTATATTAATTAACATATTACATTTATAAGGAATTGTTTTAAATATGTTATGAAATGTTAAATTTTATTAACTTTTAAACATGTCTTTTTTGGTCATTTTATATTTTTCAGTAACTAGTTTTTGTCAAACTTATTTAGTTTATTAGTTACCAGCTAGCTTATCAACCAATAACTAAATTATCAGTTAGTTTACAAGACATAACCTAAGATATCTAATACTTATTTAATACTATAATGTAAAATGGGTAAATTTTATAATTCAAAGTTATTAAAATATTAACAAAAATGTTTGATTAAGTTGTCATTTGAAAACGATAAACCATTGGTAAGCCAGACTAATTACTAATTACTAGGCCTAAACTGTGAGCCAATTGATTAACTAGAAAGCTAAGATTGGGCCGTCCGGTCAAGACGAACATGCCTATTTTTCAATGTCTTATGGGTTGTTTGACAGTTACTGAATAGTTTGGTGTAGAATGATTAAGTTATCGGAATAATTAAGAAGCTCCTATGATATAATGCAAAATAAAATATAATTGTTTGGTAATTATCTAGAATGAAATTAGGGTGCTGAATGGTTAAGGGAGACCCAAAATACAAAATCATTCAGATGATTTTAGAACCATTAAGAGAAATAATTTTTTTTTTCTAAACAAGATTTACCTCTTAGCGGTTTAAAGGTTGCATTTTAATGGAACTACTAAGAGGTAAAGAAACAACCCCTTAAATTGATGGACTGAGCTTAAACGATGTATTAACATGCATTTGGTATGTAGGATAGAATAGTATGAAAATTTTATTTAACGTTTGACGTGATATTAGACAAAGACATGATCTTAGCGAGACAAGAGTGTTTTTCGGTCACACCGAAAATGTGTGGTAAATTAGCATACCATTCTTAAATAATTAAAACTCTAAAACATTCCACAATTATATTCCTCCGTCAACCTCACTCTTGCACCCGCACGACTCATCCTAAGTGAGGGCTTAGCCAACAATGAAAGTTGGAGCGGAAGGAGGGACTTGAACCCTCAACCTCAGCCTTGGCAATAATGATTCTTCTATAGATAAAGAATCTGTGAAGTTTGATGGACCAGCCTCGTCCCCCCCCGGGGAGCATTAGCAGGCGGTACGCGTCTGGATTCTGGTTGATTCACCGGTCACATCCGATCAGAGGCAGACTTAAGAGTAGAGCTGAACATGGATTGGGTTGGCCGGGTTTAAGGTCTTTGAACAACCAAAGTCAATATTTGCGGTTTGGAAAATCTCAACCCAAGCATAACTACAACACAACCAACCCAAACCATACGGGTTGGGTTGGGCGAGTTGAAACTTTGGTATATCATTTTACAATCTACCTAAATGTTTTGTTTGAACGAACTAAAATCAAAATGAGAACATAAAAAAAGGCAAACAAACTCAAAATAAAAGTTAAAAGTTCATAAAAATAAGAAAATAAAATTACAGTTGAAATTGTAATATGACTTAAAATATAGTTAATTATTGGTTGGTCTAATGTATATATATTAATCAAAAACTTAACAATCATGTTAAAATTCGTAGTATAGAAAATCGGATTCATCGGCTTGGATTGAGTTCAAATTACTCTAACCCATTTCCAACCCAATAGATGCAGTTTGACTTAATCTTGTATCAACTATGTGTCGGGTTACCTCGGGTTGAGTTTTTTCCAGGGCGGGTTTGGTACGGTTGGTCCATTTTTTGAGTAGATCTACCTAAGAAAGTTCTGAAATAAAATCTTTCACAAATAAAATCTTTTAGAGTTCTGAAAGATGCACATGCTTAACTTTAAGGAGTACTCTGCAATATCTGAAAGTACAGGGTGCATTTGAACTTTTACAAAGTCAAGGGACCAAATTGAATATTTTTTATAAAATCAAAAGAACCGACAGGTAACTCTCGTAATGAACCAAATTGATTTAGTTTTCAGGGAGTCAAGTCAAACAATTTTAATTTTTTCTCTCGACTTCTCGAAGGCAAGGTGCAACCGTGCTTGTCGCCGGCTCCGGTCTTCGTCCCTACTCCCTTGCTCGTCTCTCTGACTCGGCCTTTTCACTCTCACAGGTTTTATCCACAAATCCTAACTCAAAATCGTATATTAGTATTAGTCCTAAATCTTATATGCCACTATTTTTTCCTAAACTTGATTTGGTTTGTTTGTCTTTTATAATTTTAATCTCTTTATAGTTATTAATTTTAATTATTGTTACTTGATTTATTGTCTTCCCTAAATTTTGTAAATTGTATATTTGTTTAAAATACGTTTTTAACTAATATTATTAATTGGCCTTGATTGCGGTTCCAACTTCATCTTCCTGTTAGTTGTGTTTTTATGAGCATTTTTCGTTGTATTTCGATTTGGTTGTATTTTTATTGTTGGCTCGGACGTTTTGGTCTAGCACTTTGTTTGTGCCAGGCCTTTTGTCTTTCTCGTTAATATTATTGCCAGCCTTTCAAAAAAATAGAAATATAACTTGACATATAAAAAACCAAAAGGGTCCAAGAACATCAACCAAAAAATTGAAAAAGTAACTAAAAACAATAGAATTACTTACCTTGATGGCACATGTTTATTACAACTAGAAGGGTACTCGTGCAATGCAGCGAGATAAATCTCGAATTTAATATTTCGTTTTATTCTGTCTTCATCGATGTTATAATACGATTTTATGTGGTACTTAAAAAACAATAGTACTTTTATTTTTTGAATAAAATACAAATATGAAGGTATCATATAATTTTGAAAAAAAAATGTATCAAATTAAATATTTAAAAGTTCTAATTATTTTTTATGTGTAATTTTTTTAATTCAATTTTTTATTGTAATTTAATTTAGATTTAATAATGAAGTTATTTATTTTTGGTTTAATGATATATTTTTTTAATAAATATAATAGTTAATATTTTGTTAGAATTCAATGATTATCCTAAATATTTTTTAAATATCTTATATATAAAATGAGATATCTATCTAATATTTGATTATGTTTATCTGCAGTTAATTATAAGAATTCAAATATGAAACTTTAATAAGTTGTACATACGCATAATTTACTTGTAATATTGAAGTTTAAGTAATATGCATCAATAAACAATATCTAATGCATAAATAACGATTTTGAAGAGTTCTTATCAAATGTTTTATATTATAGTATAGATAACACCAAAATGAGATGGAGTGTTACTTTTCGGTAAACAATTTGAACCCAAAAACACCATTCACATTCGTACACGAATACAATACCTGGAGCCGAAAGCAATCATATACGATGAGTACATGACAACCTCTTGGATTCCCTTCATGTGGTGCACAAACAACCCCGTAAACAACTATGACACATACCAAACTCCAAACAAAGGAACATGCTACATCATCATCAATTGCTTCTCAAAACTTTCACACTTTCCCCAAATTATTACTATTATTAACTTTTCACACTTACCCCAAATTATTATTATTATTATTATTGATTAACCTGAATATTCAACCCGTTATGCGAACCGACTAATCTCAGAACGACCATATGCTTTGCAGATTGTCCGGAGTCATCGCATTTGAACCTCCGTTGACACAAAGGGATTTTTATTCCTCCTTGAATTTGAACTTGGACCTGCTGGTATTTTTGATCATTGAAGCCAAACTCAAACCAATCAGATACCACCCTTGTAATTTTTCCCCAAATTATTGCTAAAGCTTAGGTGTACGTACATTTTACCCATCCTAACCGGCTAACCCACATTCAAATGCATACATTTTAGCCTTCCAAACCCACATTCGTATAAAATATACCTGGGGATCGTTTGGTTTGGTGTGATTTGGTTTGGTTACAAGAACACGATTATGCTTCGAGATTCACCAAAGAACAATGAGCATATGATTTGGGAAATAAACAAAACCCTTTATTTCATTAGGACTGAAAAAGAACAATGCAAGAAATTTCATGACTTTTATTCAATGGGGGGAATCAAATTCAAATTCCCAAAACAGAGAAATCAACCACTAACAATTGAAAACCTAATCAGAGAAGACAACTTCCCCATTCAATGAGAAGAAACTTTAAGACTGAGTGATTTATTGAACCATGATTTCCAGCTGCCGGAGTTCTTCCTCGTTATTCCCACCGTCACCGGCTTTCCATCGCCAACCGCCTCCACCTGCTGAGGCTTCTTGCACAACATGAAATTTCTAACCCCAAACGATCCAATTGTCTCCAACGGACTCAGAGCTACAACAAAAAATTCAATTAAATCCCGAAATCTAAGAAATATTGATAACGACTCAAAAAGCTTGAAATCACCTTCGGTTCCGGCGATGGGGCAATAGAGGACGAAATCATTGATATTGGAGCCGAGGACGGGAAGACGGCCCTCGCGGGCGTAAGATTTAAGAGCGGTGTCCATGACGGCAGCCACCAGCTCCTCCTCGTTGACGACAAACCGGATCGGACCGGCGCTTCCTATGACGGTTATGCTAATCAGAAGACGGTTTGCGGCGCCTCTGCCGGCCGGATTCTTCTTTTGCTTGTACATCAACATCTTTTCTTCGAATCAAAAAAACAAAATCGTTTTCCTCTTGTACCGAAAAAGGAACAAAACAATCAGGCAAATTGAATCTAATTAAAAAAAGAAAGGCGGACTAGGGTGGTCGGAAGAATTGAATCTGTTTCAGGGATCGACGCCGACGCAGCGGTGGTACCAGCCCTCCTTGCAAGATCCAAAACAGAAAGCGGAGGAAAGAGAAGAGATCCCCCTCGAGGAAAGGGGGGAGATCATCAACCGATTACCAAAGATTTCCACCATTCACAATTGGGATTTCCCCAGGGATGATGAATCGAGAGAGAGAAGAAACAAGAAATTTAAAGGGATTGAGATTAGGGTTAGAAAGGGTTGGGATCGTCGTGATAAAAAGGGAAGAAATCCGCCGACCCTTTCGAAAGCACGTTTGCCAAATCTCCACCTTTTTCTGTTATTGCGTCAAGCTTGGAGGGTGGGTGTGGCTTCTTTTGTCATCTTTACCCGTGTCACATGGAAATTGCCCTAATTTCTTCCTCTATTAATTTAGAATATAAATTTTCATTTTCATTTTAATATTTTATTTTATAATATAATTTAAAAGAAATATATTTTTATATTTAAATAAAATATAAATTTAAACATCTATAAAAATTTCTATTGATCTCATATTAATAATTTAATGATCTATAAAAATCTATAACTTTTTAAAATTTAATTTAATTTAATTTAATAACGATGTAAATTATTTTAGATCTTATAATATAATGCCTTTTATAGATATAATTCTTAGTTCAATTTTTTTTTATAATTTAATTTAAGTTTAATAACGAATTAATTTATTTTAGGTTTAATGTATAATTTTTCTTATAAAGATAATAATTAAGTGGTCTGTAAGAAGTTAATGATTATCTTAATTATATTTTAAATTCTTTATATTTAAAATGAGATGTTTATTCTGAATTTGATTATGTTTATCAGTTAGTTATATGAATTCAAACATATAGTTTTAAAAAGTTGTATTCATGCAACATTTACATGTAATATTGAATTTTAAATAATATGCATCATTTTAAGAGTTTTATGAGAATGCTTTATAACATAACAAGAAGGGTATTAATGCGATGCAATGAGATACATCTTGATTTTAATGTTTTGTTTTATTCTTTATTTTTGTCGATATAATATTTTCAGGAAAACAATAATGTTATTATTTTTTAATAAAATATAAATTTGAAGATAAAAAATATGGAAAAACTATATTGATATTAATATCAAATTAACTACTAAAAGTTCTCGTTCTTTTGTGTAATTTCTTTAATTTAATTTTCTATTATAATTTAATTTAAGTTTAATAATGAAATAATTTATTTTTGGTTTAATAATATAACTTTTTATACACATAATAATTAAGTATTTTGTTAGAAGTCAATGATTTTGATAATTATATTTTAGATTTTTTATATTTAAAATGAGATATTTATCATGTATTTGATTATATTTATTTGCAGTTAGTTACACAAACTCAAGTATGGATAATAAGTTATACTTATACACAATTATTTGTAACCTTGAATTTTAAGTAACATATATCAATAAAGAGTACTTTATGTACAAACAAATGGTTTTAATAATTTTTGTCAAATGTTTTATAATATAACTAGAAAGATACTTGCGCAATGCAGCGAGATACATCTGATTTTAATATTTTATTTTATTTTTTATCTCAGTCGACGTTATAATATGGTCTTATGTGATTTTTAAAAAGCAATGATGTTTTTATTTTTGAATAAAATATACTAAAAATTTGACAAAAATATATCGATATTAGTATCAAATTAACTATTGAAAAAATTCTTATTTTTTGTATGATTTCTTAATTTAATTTTTTTATTATAATTTAATTTATGTTCAATAATGAAGTAATTTATATTTGATTTAATAATATAATTTTCTTATAAAGATAATAATTAATTATTTTGTTAGTTATCAATAATTATTTTAATTATATTTTAGATTTTTTATATTTTAAAATGAGATGTTTATCTTTTATTTAATTATGTTTATCCACAGTTAGTTACACAAATTCAAATACGGAGATTTAATAAGTTGTATTTATGCATAGTTTACTTGTAATCTTGAATTTTAAGTAATATGCATTAATATACAGTATTTCATGTATAAAAAATGGTGTTTAAGAGTTTTTGTCAAATGCTTTATAATATAGTATAGATATAGATATATGATATTGTTTTTCTTAATAACCTCTAAAATTATGATAACTTTAAGACCAATGCATCATGTGTTATTTTATATTATCTTTTTTCATTTAAAACTAAAATTTAGAGTATTGATTAGTATAGATATGTTTCATACTGTGAATCTTTTTACATGTTTGTGAAACAAAAGTTGCACGTAGAAAATTTCACATTGTAGATTGAACATATGAAATATATATATATATATATATATATAATTTGTTTCAAATACAACCCGTCGTATTTGTACAACCAATGGAACCCAATAAATTGAGATATTTATAGAAATGATGAAAGTTCATTTATTATGATTTGAATATTTATGGAAGATGAATATGGTTCATTAATTATGATCAATACTTTATATTAGGAAATAATCAAAACTTCTATGAAATCACATGTTAATCAAATGAAATCGACGGTTGAGATTGGGTTGTATTGGTTGCACAAATGTCAAGGGTTGTATAATAACCAACCTCTATATATAACCAACCTCTATAGAAGTTTTGATTATTTCCTAATATAAAGTATTGATCATAATTAATGAACCATATATATATTAATACATTAAATGTTAGTCTTAGATGGAATTTTTTTTATGTGAAACAATACCTTAAGGTAAACACTCTCCCGATTATCACAAAATATGGAATTTCAAATGATTAAGCCTCATCTACATACTATATTATAAATAATCAGTTCTTTTCTTTTTTAAACACTCTCATTTTTAATAATACATTTATTAAAAATTAACTATTAATCAGTAGAAGATACAAAATCTTTCAATTTTTATAAGATTATTATTTGGTCCAATTTTTAAACAACTATAATGGAAGGTTAAAAGGTTTATAAAACTCTCAAATTAACATATCTAGTTTTGTAACCATCCAACAAATATATATATAGAGAAAGCCGTGCAATTCTTAAAAACCGTGTAAACTAATTTCGATAAATTGGAAAATTCCATTTTTTTCTAATTAAATTTAATCATTAAGGGTACATTGGTCATTTGCATTGTTTTCTATTAAATATGAAAGTTATTAATAAATCTTAATTAAGGTAACATAATAAAAGAAATTTTATAGATGGTAACATTTAAATATTTAATTAAATTATAATATTAAAAATTGGATTTTGTTATATTGTGTCTCGGTTTATTATTGCCAAGATTCGTGAAAATCGTAAGTTATTAAATTAATAAATCCATAAAATCAATAATACAAAAAAATATATTCATGCAACCGGTTTCATACATGGTGAAATTGGTACATGAAGTAAGTGAAAAATGATTATAAAATGAGTGCATGATGAAACCGGTTTCATATATGGTGAAATTGGTGCATGGAGTAAAAATGATTATGAAATGGGTACAACATGAAATGTGTGCATGATGAATAGGGTGCATGATGATATGGGTGCGTGAACAATCTCATTAGACAAGTGAAACAAGGTGCATGATGAATAGGGTGATAAATTTACCATAATAGAGTGCATGATGAAGGTGTGGTTGGGTTTACCATCTTGCCATTCTCGCTATTATAGAATAATTTTTTTAATATATAGTTTTTAATTTCCTAAAATAAATTAAACTAATCTTGACCATTGATCAAAAAAATGAATATATAAGATTGGTTTACATGGTTTACACAAATGGGAGCGGTTTTCATTTGATCGCTCATATATATATATATATATATATATATATATATATATATGTTTTAAGGGTCTATTTCTTAGTTTAAGATCCATTTTACTAATTGAAATCAAAGAATTCGTAACTATGTTTTATCCAACATGGTTACACAAATCGAATAAAAATACCTATAAGTTAAAAACCCTATGAACCAATATAGATCATACATATTTAATTTCCTTAAATATCTTATCAAGTATTCCTCCTATTTAGTGTCCACAATTCTATTTTTGTTTGAGTCAAATAAGTGTCTACTTTCAAAACTAAGTTTTCACTTTTTTATTCTACCCTTAATCATGTGATGAATAAAATTTCTCTTAGGGGTAAAAGTATCATTTGGTTACTTAAATAGTCTAATAATTGAACACTGCTAAAACTGTGTGACATTTCTATCGTAATCATTTATTTTGGGACATAGGAAGTATTTAAAGAAACTAATATTTCCACATTTGAAATCACCCAATCGATGAAATGCTTCATTGGTGAAGCGACACTATATTAAAAATAAACACACTTATGTGTTAGTCATCGATGAAACAATACTATATTATCAAACAGATCAATTCAGATAAACCCATGTCTTGTTTCATTTGTGACACGCCATTGTATTCAAACAGACTAACCATATGTGTTGTTTCATTGGTGAAACAACACTATATTATCAATACATATCAATCCATGTGTTGTTTCATTAGTGAGATGACACTCTATTAGTAAAACGAATAATACATATCAACCTATGTATTGTTTCATTGGTGAAACAAGACCGATATTTCAAAAGCAGAACAAAAAACGAGTTTTTTTAGGAAACAGTTGATAAGATAATAAAGATAATTCAAAGATAATTGTGGAAACTAAATATGTGTGATTAATATTAGTTCATAGTCTTTCAAACTTATAGGAGGTTTTTATATGATGTTGTGCCTATATATGTGTGTATATATAATTAGAAATAGAATACCCCTTATTCTAAAAACTAATTATTTAATATATAATTAATATTTTTAATTAAACAAAATATATCAAAAAATAGTATTTTATTCTTTTCTATTTCATATCCATATCGATATATTTCATTCCTTATTTTTTTAACTGGTTTATACATAAAACTAACATACATTCATTATTCCTATTTATCTATATTCACGTATGTATCATAGCTTTTCATACACACATGATATTTATCGTGAATATTTTTAAATTTAAAATTAAAAGTTATTATATCATACCAACATAACCATATAAATAAGGTTAAGATGACAAATTATAGAAACAACAAACATATGAGGGTTCAAATATGATTTACATGTAACAACGTAAAACTTATTATTTAACATTTAAATGTTGTTTAAAGCCATGGACCTGTATGACATGTTTGCAAGATAAACATAAACACGAAAATCATACAATTAAAAGTATATTAATACAAAAAGAATCGAAAATCCTACCATAAAAGAAATTGACGATTACCTTTGTACTTGTTAGAATAGATCGTCCATTACCTAATGGAGTTGTCACTCATGAACCAATCAACATTTTTGACTAGATATCGAAGAAAGTTTTGAACAT